AGGGGCAGGACGGGCGCTGGCGGGACATGGGGGGTCTGGCAGGAGGAGGGGCACCCAGGGAGGAGATGGGGGGGGGGCACGGGAGGGGTGCCCAGCGCCCCGGGTGCAGAGCAGCGGTGCGGGGGGGCTTTTACTAATTGAGCACAATAAAGCAGAGGATTCAGCCCAGGGTCCTGCGTCTGCCCCAGAGCCCCAGGGAGCACACGGGGGTGGGCAGGCCAGTGCCCTACAGCGGGGACCCCTGCTGGCACCCTGAGGAGTGGGGGGGGGGCAAGTCCTGTGGGGACATCGCCAAGGCCGATAGGGACCCCAAGGCTTACAACCCTCCACGCTTTCGTTTCTGGAAGGCGAAAACCGAAACTTGACTTGGCCTTTCCCCAGTGCTGCCAGCCCAGCACTTAAGGCAGTGATGGGAGGTGACCTTGGGATCTGCTGCCTCCCGCTGCCTGCGGTGGCACCAGGGCCCCCGGTGACATTGGCACTAGCCATGTCCCATTGCCTGGGGTGACATCAGGCCCCCCGGTGACACCAGCACCAGCCATGTCCCAGCGCTGGCTGCGCCCCAGCACTTGAGCCCCCAGCGTGGGCACAGGCAGACACTGGTGCGGGCAGGGCACCCCCAGCCCCCGGGCAGGGCCGGGCACAGAGTCCCCGTGGTGGGACTCTGCCTCCGGCCAGCTGGGCAGTCAGGGGAGAACCTGGGCAGGAGCCCCCCAGGGAGCCGGGGCTGGGGACTGGGGAGAGGCGAAGCCCCGGGGCCGGGGCCACCTTAAGTTCCCAGCGGTGATTGAGTTGGTGGCTGGGGAAGGTTTAAAAGCTGCTGCAGGCAGAGAGACAGCTGCAGGCAGGAGCAGGCAGAGGATGGAGCTGGTTTTTTCCTGAGGTCCAGCTGGCACTGGGCTGGCACCCCTGACCCCACCGTGCACCCCGGGCTCAGGCAGCACCGCTGCTCTGCACCCATGTGTCCCTGTGCTGTCCCAGCAGCTGGTGGCATTGAGGACCCCCTTATCCCAATGATGTCCCCCCTTGATCACCCCCCCCACCGTGCCACTTGGCACTGTCCCCAACTCAGTGAGCAGCACAAGGATCTACCAGGGCATTTATTTCCAGCATGACAGGGAGACAGGTTACAGGCGCGTAGGCTGGTGCTGAGGGCGATGCTTAGGAGGGCGAGCAAGCAGGGAACTGGGGGTGCCAGGGGCCCGTGCCCCCCCGGAGCCGCAGGAGCATGAAGATTGTGCTCCTGGGCTGGATGTTGTAGTGCGCCAGCACGTGCTGGTTCTCCAGCTCCCTGGAGCCGTACGTCAAGCGCTGCTGGTTGGCAGGAGGCCCGTGCCGGGCGTGGATCTGCTCCTTCAGCTGCCAGACCGTGTCAGTGGGTTGCACCATGTAGGTGGTGGTCCGGTTCTTGTCGTCCTTCACGAAGACCTCCATCGCCTGGGGCTCAGTCTGCAGCAGCATCAGCGTGGTACTGTAGAAGATGCCGTGGGTGGCCAGGGTCTCGTTGTCCTGCAGGATGAGGGTGCTCCTGCCTGGCTCCTGCTGCGCCAGGCGCTGCCTGTACCGGGGGATGCCCCACTCCTGCTCGATCTTCTCCTTCAGCTGCCAGACGGTGGTGCTCGGGCTGACGGTCATGCTCAGGCTGGTGCCTGCCAGCTGTTTCACCTCAATCCTCACGGGTCGGGCCGGCTGCGGGGACAGGAGTGTGGGTGGGCAAAGCCAGCAGGGGCCCTGGGGGGGGCAGCAATGCCCGCAGGCACAGGCAGCCTTACCTGCACGTTCCAGGGCTGGGCGGTATTGACGCAGGGCAGCGAACGGTGGTGGGCAGCTTCCTGCGCCACCAGGTACCAATTCTTGCCTTGGCCCAGGATCCCTGTGGGGTCGGCGGGGTCCAGGATGATGGGGCTGCAAACACAGAGGGCGGGCACTGCCGTCAGTCCCGGGCAGCACCACAGGGCGGGTGGCAGGGGTCCCCCCGGGCACGGTCCTCACCGGGGACTGCGCAGCAGCCCCTTCACGTGGGCACCGATCTGGCTGTGCTGGAGTGAGTAGTACGTCTCCCAGTAGATGCAGATCTCCTGGTACCGGCACAGCAGCTCCAACACCGTACGGAAGCCCTCGGCCATGACAAAGGACACGCAGGAGCCCGTGCCCTCCTCCCAGGCGTAGATTGTCAGCAGCTCCAGGGCATACTTGGGGGGCAGGTCCGCGGTGGGGTACCGTGGCTTCAGCATCTGGGGAGAAGACGGGGATGGGGGTGAGAGCTGGCCAGGCCAGGTGCCCAGTGGGTGCCGGGGAAGCCGGGCAGCCCCTCACCTCCTTGTACCAGTGCTTGACCAGTCGCAGGAGGTTCTTCAGCTTGGGGGGGCAACGCTTCACAAACTTCTTCTGCAGCTCGGTGAAGCACGGGGAGAACTCCCCGGGTCCACTGCTGGCATTCAGGAGCCCCACGTACACCCCCGCATCTGGTGGGACATCCCGCGTCACCTGCCCTGCAGGGCGAGAAGGAGGGTGAGATCCATCCCGGCGCTGACACCCCAGCCCAGCCCTGCGCCAGTTCACACCCCTTACCCAAGGCGTCGTAGGCGGGCAGGATGTCCACCTCGATGGACTCCAAGGTCTCCTTGGAGCAGAGGGTGAAGCTGAGGGAGCGTGGCATGTTGCTGGGACCCTTGTACTTTGGCTCGTTGATGTTCACGGTGAATGTCAGGCTCTGCCTGCAGGCGTGCAGCCTCTTCTCGATCAAACGTAGGATACTGCTTCTTTCCTGCTTCTGCTTCTGATAGCTGGAGAAGCAGCTGAGGAAGAGCACCACGTCGGCGTCGGAGTTGTTCTGCAAGGCTGTGCCCTTGCCTGCCGAGCCACCCTGCAGAGAGATACCCCGCCCGCTCAGCACCGCTGCCCCTCAGCACAGGGATCGCCTGCCACCATTTGTGGAGCTGCCAGGGGAAACTGAGGCAGGGCAGGAGCTGGAGCAGCAAGACAGAGGGAAGGGCGGCAACAGGGGTACCAGCTGGCCCCCAACCCAGGCAGAGCTCACCTTGACGGTCTTGTGGACGTGGATGTTGGTCTCAAAGCAGTCCTCCTTCAGGAAGTCGCAGATCTGCTTCACCGTCTGCTTCACGTGCCTGCAGAAAGCCGTGCTGGGCTCCAGGGTCGCTGCAATCCAGCCGTCCAGCTCCTTGGCGGCCACTGTCTTCAGCCCGCTCGTGGATGTCGCCTGCCCCACATCCATCCTGCCAGCTGTGGTCGCTCCCTCTGCCTGCTCCTGCCTGTCCTCCCTGCAGCTGTCTCTCTGCCTGCAGCAGCTTTTAAACCTTCCCGGGTCACCGCCCCGATGGCGTCACCGCCGGGAAGTTAAGGTGGCCCCGGCCCCGGCTCCCCGGGGGGCTCCTGCCCACGGGGTCCCCCGGGTGTCCCCGGTGCCACGGCTGCGGGGGCTGGGAGGAGGCAGGAGGGGCTGTGTGGCACTGCCAGCACCCTGGCATCCAGCTGAGGGGCAGCAGTGACAGCGGTGGCGGCAGCGCAGGCAGCTGCCTTCAGGCTGGGTCTGGGGTGCTGCAGGACCTCGTAGCCCGGGGTGTCCGCGGTGGCACAGGGTCTCCCCTGACTGCCCAGCTGGCCGGAGGCAGAGTCCCACCATGGGGACTCTGCGCCGGGCCCTGCCCCGGGGCTGGGGGTGCCCTGCCTGCACCAGTGTCTGCCTGTGCCCACGCTGGGGGCTCAAGTGTCCAGGCTGGGGCACAGCCAGTGCTGGGACATGGTTCACGCTGGTGGCACGGTGTCACCCCAGGCAATGGGACGTGGCCTGTGTCAGTGCCACCAGAGGCCTTGGTGTCACCACAGACTATGGGATATGGCTGATGCCACCAGAGGCCCTGGTGTCACCCCAGGCAATGGGATGTCGCCTGCCCCACATCACCAGAGCTGGCTGGTGCTGGCATCACCAGAGGCCTTGGTATCACTATAGGCAATGAGATACAGCCGGTGCCAGTGCCACCAGGATTTCTGGTGTCACCACAGGCAATGGGACATGGCCAGTGCCAGTGCCACCAGGGGCCCTGGTGTCACCCCAGGCAATGGGATGTGGCCGGTGCCAGCATCACCGGGGGTCCCGGTGTCACCCCCGGCAGTGGGACATGGCTGGTGCCAGCATCACCGGGGGTCCTGGTTCCCCCCCGGCAGCGGGAGGCGGCAGGGGGGACGGGCGGGAGGCTGCTGCCCGTGTCGGCCTGTGGGGTCCTGGCGCCCCCTGCGTCAGTGGGACATGGCTGGTGCCAGCATCACCGGGGGTCCTGGTTCCCCCCCGGCAGCGGGAGGCGGCAGGCGGTACGGGCGGGACGCTGCTGCCCGCGCTGCCTTAAGCGCCGGCTGCGGCGGAGCCGGGAAACGGTAGTTTCAGTTTCTGCCCCGGTTTCGGTTTCTGCCTCCGCCTGCTGGAAACGAAAGTGCGGCGGCTCTGCCCCCCTCCCGGTCCCTCACATCCCCCACGCGGGGCCCTGGGTGCCGTGGGCAGCCCGGGTGCCGCGGGGTGGATGCCCACGGGCAGCCCCGCTCGCCTGCGCTGGGTCATCGCGGGAAACTAGGAAGAGCCAAAAAACTGCAGGCAGGGGTAGTGGGCAGGAGCAGGGGCAGGCACGAACAAGAAGAGGAGGGTGATGGGGAGTAGGGGCAGGAGCAGGAAGGGGCAGGGATGGGGAGAGGGATGGGACAGGGACATGCGTGAGGATGTTTTTACAAATGTATTAATGACAAGAAGAGAGCCAAGGAGAATCTCCATCCTTTATTGGATGCGGGGGGGAACATTGTCACCGAGGATGAGGAAAAGGCTGAGGTACTCAATGCCTTCTTTGCCTCAGTCTTTAACAGGCAGACCAGTTATCAGGGTATTCAGCCCCCCGAGCTGGAAGACAGGGATGGCGAGCAGGATGAACCCCCC